TATATATATATAGATAGATAGATAGATAGATAGATAGATAGATAGATAGATAGATAGATAGATAGATAGATAGATAGATAGATAGATAGATAGTAGAATAATAGAGAATGCTGCCCTCTGCTGGGCACTACCATAATTTTAAGGAGAAGTGGTTCTTATTTGTTGTTGAAAGGAGATCAGAAAACCTGTGATAGAAAAGCTTTGTGTTTCTGAGCTGGAAACTGTGATGGACTGCAGATCTCAGGAGAAAAAGTCAGAATATCATTTATCTGACCTTAAAACAAGAAAGATGTTTTAAAAGTTTAGGAATAAAAAAAACATATTTTAATTTAAACTGATCAGTTTAACTCACAATGCTGAATGATGGGATGTACAGAAGAAAGTCCCTAACAACCTTTACATGGAGAGTAAAAAATAAAATGTCATTGCTAAAGAAGACTTTTGTGGTATAGAAACTGGAGGGGAAGGAAACTGTGGAGAAAAAAGGTTCACCAGCAACATGGAAAACTGGGATAACTTAAAACTCACAAAGCCAGGACTGAGGACCAATTATAGATGATCTGATGGCTTCCATTAGACCTCAGCAGAATCACAGCCTGGTGGCCTTTTTATTAATGCAGCATGGAAAGGAGCCCAAAGCAAATATAGAACACATAGAAACGAACATTCCAGAAGCCTGATGCTTCTGTTTGAAAGGTCATAAAATATTCAATTTTTCTGACACACTAAATGTTGTTTTTTTATTATCTTGATAAAAATTCAAATAACAAGAGATCAAGGTTTTAAAATAACATATTCAATATTTACGGAATCTGTATAATAAATGAATTTTACTTGAAAAGAAAGACAAAAACCACATAACATTTTTAAGGAACCGTAATATTTGGGGCTTTAAGTGTATTTTCTAATATATTCCATTATTAATCCATCATGTAACATTTAGAAACTCTGAGCATTGCTTTGTTTCTGCTTCCTGATGCACTACGTTTCTGTCTCCAGTTTCAGTGTCTCCTGCTTCTGCAGAGGACAGGCGACCTCGACTCAGGAAAAGTTTATCAGCGGATGAGAAGCTGAGAACCGTCCGGCCAGACTTCATCTATCAGGTGTCTAATCCGGTCCTGAACAAACTGCTGGACGAGCTGCAGCACTGCAGGGTGATAACAGACGACGAGGCCGAGGACATCAGAACCAGAACCAGATCAGAAAAAGCCAGAGAACTCATCGACAGCGTGAGGAAGAAAGGAGCAGAGGCCAGCTCTAAAATGATCTCTGCGTTATGCTCCAACGATCAGTATCTGAGCAATGAGCTGGGCTTATTATGACGGACCAAACCGGACCGAGACCAGAAGATCTCATTTATACAGAGAGGTTTAAAACGGTTTAATCTTTAGTTTGACAGATAATTATTAAAATGGTTGGTCTGTTTTACATTGTTCTTAAGAAGATTAACCTTGTTTTAGTGTCAAGCAGTAATTAAACAATAGTTATAAAGGAACTGAATTAAATAATAAAGACAATTACAAGAAATGTATTCCTAATCATAAATGATCAGACCTGGGTTCATGTTTATATTCAGAAACAGGTTTGGTTGTAAAGGTTTTGACTGGGAGAGCCATCCGATCTGGCTGCATATCACCTCTTCCAAATTTCCATTAAGTGGATAAAAATTAAAAATAAACTGCTTGGTGATCAGATCCAACATGATATAGTAGTTCATCTCTAAGCTTTACAAAGAACAATAAACCAATGAAGCGGTTAATTGGCCAATTCTAATGTGTTTCTTGATCTACTCATCTACCCTTTTCTCCTTTGGATCTATCTTAGTAGAAATATTTAGTTTCATTTGCTTGCTTAATTCAAGGTCCATACATGTTTTGACTGTTGATTAACTATAAGAAATCAAGTTATTGTATTAGAAATGTCTATAAAATGTGGTCTGCTCTACACTGTATTCTTGACCAAATCTACTTTGCTCTTCATTAATTGACTTCCTGCACTAATATCAGCTCTGTTCTTTGACATGGAGTTGGTGTGCAAAGCATCAAAAGAGAACAGCCGAGCAGGTTAAAGAAGCAGCGAGGGCTGGGATTATATGGGACACTTCAGAGACACCCCACAGCACATCTGGTGAAACTACTCTGACTGACTAGAGTTACCTATTCTATAACACGTCAGTTAATGAACAGGTCTCCTTCTGTCTTGCTCACAGTCATACAAACATTCCACTCTCCTTTGACCCAAAGCTTCCTTCTCAAACCTCAAACATGTCTTCTTCCTACTCTGCCATTCCTTCCTGATTTTATGTGCTTGAACTCAACCAAATCAGTAGATGGTGCTGCTCCCTCTTCCTTCCACCTATCTGTATCTAGAAGTAAATAAAGAGGCACCTGGAGAGACTGAATGGTAATAATTCAGCAGGTCCTGATGGTGTGAGCACCAGAGTCCTGAAGGCCTAAGCAGAGCAGCTCTGTGGGATTCTACAGCACCTTTTCACCCTTAAGGCTGATTTATACTCAGAAACCAGGTTGCTGCGTGTGTGTCGCAATGCAAATGTTAATGTCAAATCTCTCATCAAATCAACATCCGCTCTACTCTATGCGTATTTCCTTTTTGGTACCTTACTGGCTTGTTTTGTTTGTATGACCGCCATTGTGGAAAACGACTCATGAAGATGGACCAGCTAGAAGAGCGAGGTGTGCGAGAACGCTGGGACCCTTTTTCCACCTGGTTCCCCGCTCTTTTTCACCCTATTTTCCCTCCGTTGTCACTCAAACTTGACCCCACTTCCTCACCGCCTCGGCCGTATCTAGAACCACGGCTAGTTCCTGATTGTCCCTCTTGCGTGGTGGCATGGAATAACATAGCGCAGACCACGCTTCAATATTGGGCAGCAATCAAAAATATCTGCCACAAGCTCACTGCGACACACTGCTGCAGGAGGATAACCAGCCCTTCAGTCTGACCCTGGAGACAGTTCCAGTGATGTGGAAGACCTCCTGCCTTGCCAATACCAAAGAAGACTTAGCCAGCATTCCTCAGAGACTGTGGACCTGTTGCTTTAACATCCCACATAATGAAGGTCCTAGAGAGACTTCTGTATCCTACTTTTTTTTATGAAGCACTTTAAATTTTCCCAAGGGCCAGTGTTGGGCACGTTACTTTGAAAAAGTAATTAGTTATAGTTACTAGTTACTTCTCCCAAAAAGTAACTGAGTTACTAACTGAGTTACTCCACAATAAAAGTAACTAGTTACTAGTAAAAGTAACTATTGCGTTACTTTTGCGTTTCTCGCCCCCGTAAACCTCATACGCCCCCGTATGAACTATGAACG